CGTATTCCCTACCAATGATTGCCTTCCTAACGTCCCAGCCAAGTACGCAATATACCTACGTATGCGTGCGTTAAAATTATTTTTCTCTCCACAGTTACAGAGTGTGTTATCTAACAGATGTAAGAGATTGCACGGATGCTGACGACAATCTGTACTACGGATGCTACCTCCGTGTGGGCGGCCAGAGAGTAGGATACAAGCTAGCCCCTCTGCCAATGACTGGAGGCGAGAACAATGAGAGCCGACAAGTCTTCTTCGACTCCGTCCACAGTATGACCGCTACCAACGCGGTCTGTTTCTACAACGTATCCGTGACAGACACGAGCACGCGTAACTGCTCGGGCGTCGTTCTGGAGAGCGCTTACGGAGTCGGAAGCGGTAGTGATTCCGCGGACGAATCGTCGGAGGATCGCGCTCCGTGCAAGAGTTACGTGAGGGTTTATTACAGCACGGAGTATAGTGGACAGCAGGAAAGACTCGTCTGTCTGACGGACTTGCCTGGGTTCTACACCACCGTTCCCGGCGCCACTTCCCTCTTTATCGTTTATTGGACCAATAACGACGTTAACAATAGGGGCACCTCGTTTAGCATGCGAGTACGCTGCATAGAAGACTGATCACATTATCATCATCAATTTATATCGCCTATAGATTATATATACATATTAGCTACTAGATCAGTTTTATCACCAAGATTTTGGCTATCGTCATAATCATCACCATCATCAACAACAGTTAGTCTTACAAATGCGCAGGCGGCCCACGTGACCACGTCCTCGATTATGCATACGCGTGAACGGGTCTACTCGTCTCACGTTTCAAAGTGTTGATAATAACATTGGTCACATCTTTTCCAATCTATAACGGATTACTCCCATAATATATATGTAAATGTCAATAATAACATCAGGTGAAGGCTCTTTGAAAAATATGATTGCTCCTAATATTTATTTATTTATTTATTACACACACCAACAGGTGCAAATGAAGAGAGAGAGGATGAATAATGAAAAAAAGATAGGGTAGTTTATGAAGAGATATGAATGATGTAAGACTCAAAAGGAGAATGGGTGCCATATATAATATTATGTCTATAAAATCTAATCATGCTAGATACATACAAATCATGCTCAGTGAAATGTTTTACATGCGAATGACCGTACAAACAGTTGTAGCCAATTGAAGAATAGGCAAGATTAACAGAGTCAAAAATTGTATACTTGACAACAGGGTTATCACTTTTCCATACAGAGAGAGATGAACTTTTCAAAGTGATTTAATATCATGTTATGCAAAAAGAAAATTTTGGCAGTCTTCAAGACAATTGACGTATGGGGATTCGAGGGGAGGTGCCAAATTCTTCGTAATATTTTATTAATTGCGATGTTTTAGAGCATGGTAGGATAAAACGCAGCCATACAGAGAAAGGCAGTATGATTTGAAAAGGTAAGTCACAAAAATACAAAACCAAAAGTACACATCATAGAGTTAGCCTTGCGGTTAATGTCCTTGGCAACTCTAATCCAGATGGCCTCCTGAGCTGCGCTTGCAAGTGCAACATACTCAGCTTCTGCTGTAGAGAGCGCAACGCAGGTCTGTTTCTTGCTCCTCCAGCTAACAGCCCCACCACTGATGAGATATCCAGACGTCGATTTCCTATCATCAAGATCACCACCCCAATCGGCATCCGAGTAGCCGACACAGTCACCTGATGCGTAAGAAGTGAAAGCCAAACCGTAGTCAGCAGTGCCTCTGAGATACCGCTGCTCAGGTAGTTGCAATAAGTCTTGATGTTATTGTTATTGTCTGACACCTTAGACCATAGAATACTAGAAGAAAAAGAAGAAGGAGGGGGATGTTCAGGTAAAGGAGCTGCAGCACAATTAACATGAAAATTGAAAAGGAGTGGGAGATGATCAGATAGGTTACTACCAGATTGCAGAGTATGAGCATTAGAAACAAGGTGAGAAGAAGAATGTGTACAAAGGATATGATCAATCCAGGAGTGAGTTTGAGAATCTGCTAGTGCCTGAAGCAGGATGTAAATTAGATTATTGCACATGGTTGTGGTTTCACGGGCAGGCTTTGGTAATCAGGCTACAACCTGCAGGGGAACAAACAATGAAGGCATTTGACTGAGTGCCCCGCGGCTCGCGTAACACAGCGCAGACTCTGGCGTGCAAACCAACAGCAAGCTAGCCAGTTGGAAATGTACACACTTACTTACAGAAGGTACTGGAGGCTGAGAGTTCCTCTGCAGGTCTGCCAACTCGCCTGGTAGAATGCGCACGCAAGCGCAGTGGACAACGCCCCTGCCTGGCGCATGCGCGCGGCTCACTGGTGCTGAGTTAGCAGCAAATAGCGTTCTCAGTGTCGACCATTTGAAGAGCTCGACGATCTACCGTAGTGACCAGCGGCAAGAAAGAAACGATCGCTTGATGTCCGTGCACACCTCCGGCGAAATTGGAGGCCTTCAGTGAAAAAATAAGTGCTTGAACTGGTATATACTGGTAAGGAGATAGCGGGTTTAAAGAAGAAGAAGAAGAATATGATGACACGAAAATCGTGAAATCGCGTAAGAGCGAATTCTCTCGTGGACGACTGAAGGTGAGTATGAGGTATTGGGGGGCATGTATAGGTAGATATGGGCCCGTAGACTATTGCTAGCATGTTTGTAAGGCCTAGGGAGTGATTCTCACCGAGTTTTTAGTCGTTTTGTACACGGATCACGTGAGATTTCATCCGCGTCATTCCTATATCAGAGTAGACGCTC